GGAGCAGTTTTGGCTGAGGGTGTTGTGGTGCTTCCCACTGTGGTCCTGGAGGTGCTGGCTGTGCTGGTGGCTGGTGTGGGCACTGTTGGTGTGGGTGTGACGATGATGGTGGTTGTGCCTTCAGTCTGAGGGGGAGAGGTCCTGGTGGTGGTTGCGATGACGGTCGTGCCTTCATTCGTTGGGCGTGTGGTGGTGGGGACAGCTGTGGTGCCAGTGGTGCTTCTTATTTTTGCTTCGGGAGTTGTGGAAGCAGTAGTGGATGATATTGTTGTTTGAATAGCAATAGTGGATAATATATTCGGAAGGGTTGCTGCTGTAGGGGTTTTCGTGCTGCCGGTGGTGGTTGTAGAGCTGCTAGCTGTGCTAGTGGCTCGGTTGGGCACTGTTGGTATGGATGTTGGGACAGTTGTACCTTGTGTTGGCAGGGCAGTAGTACTGGAGACAGCTGGCGTGCCAGCAGTGATTTTTGTTTTTGATTCAGGGAGAGTGGAGATGGTAATTGGTGGTGTTGGAGCCTGCGTTGTCATAGTGGAGGTTTCTGCTATAGGAGATGTGGTTTGGTAACCTGTTGTTGAGATTTGAGATGTCCTTGCTGTAACTGAAGTTTCAGTCACAGTAGTTGTTTTTTCGCTGTCATTTGGTGATGTTGTAGTTACTTCACTCTTTTGCATTTCAGTTCCTTGTTTTTGTGTTGTGGGTTTTATCTTTGTCTGTACTGTGAATTGTGTTGATTCTACAGCAGTAGTTGTTGTGAATTCTTTTGTGGTTATTGGTGTTGTAGATTGTATTTCAGAACATGGTATGTATCTGCAGCATGATATTCTGATTTCATAATTATAGCACAGCTTAGATTCTTGGTCCTGGTTGTTGCATATTAATCCTCTGCTTTGACTACACTCTATTGTTTGGTTAAGGTGGTTAATTTCTGTATCCGGGTGTTCTTTGGCTCTGCATTGAACACCATTAGGGTTTGTACACACACTGTATCCTTTTTCCTTGAGACTTTCAAATGTTTCATAATCTCCACTGTCCTCTTTGTTTTCAGGTTGAGTAGAATCATACCATTCTGACCAGGTACACACATTTTTCACACATACAGTTGTCACTGGTGTTGCAGTTGTCATTTCTGTAATTAAAAGGAGGAACCGTAAGTCTTGTCTGCTCTTATTAAAGAAAGTGCCAGGAAAAATTATTCATCTTCCATATATTTTTTGTTGTATATAATTTTTTATATAATGTACTATTTTAATTTTAGTGAACTTCCTTAAGCAGTCTTTAATTTCTAAAGTAGTTTTTGACCTTTTGTCTATATTATTATCATTATAGTGGTACTTTCTGTGACATCTATTAAAAAATTGTAGCTAAATAAAGCTAATCTGATATCCTTTGCATGGTACGTTAGTACTTAGATAATATAATCTCATGATTTCTATGTAGAGGAGGTTTTATTCTCCTTGCTATTATATCTGTATTTATTTACTCTTAACTGCATAACCATGCAGACTTTAAAATATTTTTACAGAATAATGACTTTTCTACTTATTTTAATATTATAACATGTAACACATTTATAAACCTGAAATATAATACATATATTTAACATATATGTATTTTGCATAAAGTGCATTATAATAGAGAATACACATAAAGTATATATGAAATACATAATCTAATAAGTATTTTCTAGTTTTTTTAATAAGGGTTTTTTTCATATTCTTAGCATTATGAAGATGACCACATGGAATAGACACGACTTGCTTCACATGAATGTTGCTTAATAGAAGACTTAAATTTGAATATTTAGTTCTTCCATACTTTTTTGCGAATATTTCTCAAAATTACTGAGAATTTGGTCACTATAATGAATTAACTGCAGGAATAAAATAGAAGTGTACTGTGGGAGTAGAACGAAACTGTTGATTTGGTTATTAAGTACAATTAGGAAAGGTTCTAAACAATGGTTATAAATAGTTTGAGCATTTCCTCAAACTAAATTTCTTATCTTCAGTTGGTAGTAATGTGCTCTGTAGTTTAAGAAATGGCAGCAATTGTCTTTCATGTTTTCAGAAGTTGGTCTAGAACTGCTTGTTTTTGTTAGCAAGGAAATGAGAAGATTCTCCAGGATGCAATTATTAATAAGCTCTATTATTTTTTTCCCCTGGAAAAATCATGGTGAAACAGTGGAGATTGGGTTTGTAAGAAATGCTGTACTCATTTCTACATCCTTATTATGGTCTTCTTTGGCAACTGAAGCTGCCAGGTGAATTGGTGGCTCCAGCAGAAGTCAACATTTTCAAGTAAAATTATATGCCATTAACTGATGAGAAGGTCCTCCCTTTCAGTTAATTTTCAGTCACTCACAGAAATTTTTCACTTATTTTAAAGATTATTCATGCATACCTGAAGTAGTAGTTGTAGGCTGACTTGTAGAAAATGTAAATGGAGTTGTTGTAAAAATGCCACATTTAAAGATGTTTCTGCTTATTGTTCCATTGACATCGCATGTTGCACTGAAACACCATCCAGTTCCATCCGTGGTGTTATAGATGAGTTCACCATATTTATAGCTATTTCCTTCATAAATGCAGTGGCAGGCTGTAATTCAGAAGAAGTTTATTGTCAGGAATCTATGAAAAGGTAATATCCATTATTTTATTTTCTTAATAATTTTTCTTAGCTGTCTTACCTTTATCATCAAACTTGCACTGTAAACCTTCTGATGTGCACTCACTGAAATAGAAAGCATAAAAACCCATATTTTTTGATTGTGATGTTCTTTGTTTAGTCATCATTCTGATAAATACTGGCATCAAAAGGCAAGGCACTTTATATGTGCTTATTCCTTTAGTGTCCAGTTGGTTTTGGCTTCTTTTTGGCCATCATTTTCCCAAATCTTTCTTTATATTAACCCCAAACTTATAAATAGAAGTGAAGTTAAATTTTACACAAAGCTACAGGTAGAAATCTTAAGGAAAACTTTCCTTATTTCCTTCATATCACTTTCCTTGCACTTACAATGTTTCTGTACTAAATAGCAGGCTAAAAAGGGAGAATCTAAGTACTCAAACGATATAAGTATGTAATAAAATACTTGGAAGTAGGTCACTATTAGATATCTTTAGTTCTGGCACAATGTTCTTCCTGCCACAGGAATGTGAAATAGAGAAAGCCTGGTCATAAAGGACTTCTTGTTCTTAATGTATCTTTATGCTGAGAATTTGCCATATAATCAGGAACAAAAGCAATAGAACATAAAATCATATAAAACCTTCTTACTAATGTAGTAAGAAAACCACCATTAGATAGTAAGGCATTATTTTTACACAGGCAGCATAGCCTAATCCTGTCATGTAAACGGAACATGCAATTTCCCACTTTCTTTTGATCGTTTTTCCTTGTATATGATGAGGCTGGTATGTTAAAGCTTACCATATATTACATTCATCTCGTTTATATATCTTTCCATCTTCATCATCATAACAGTCACAGAGACTAACACACTTCATCTGATCCTCATGGAAATATGGCTTGTCTGGTGGGCAGTTAGGGTAGCAGCCTGGAGGAAGGAAGGGGGCATGTACCAGGTAGAAAAGGTAAGAATGAAATACTGTCAACAGAAGTTTTATTTGTGTAGAATGCATTTTCAGGTCTTGTTTTTAATTGTCATAACATTTTTATTTATTTTTTTCAGTAACTCTAGTAAGTAATGCAGAGTACTAGCATCAGCAGAGCCCATCCACAAGGACTTAGTCTTAGAGATCTTTTTCACTCCAGTTTCCATACTCTGCCTCCGTTCATGTGGATATAATGATATTGAAGAGATTTGAATTGTGCAAATGCAGCTAATGGGGGAAATACACTCCATTAAAAACAATTAAAAATATAATAATATGTACCCTCTAAAAGGTACTTGCAGCTCTTTTTACCTTCTAAACCTGGCAAGTCATTGAGGCATTTTCCACTTGGGTTCCTACAGGTCTTCATACAGGAGGCTCCACAAGGCTTATAGTGCCATTCACATTCTCCTTGTTGATTGTAGTAATCACAGAACAGTGCTAAGGAGAAACAGAAAGTTGGACATGTTCAGAAAAAAAAAAAAGCGCAAATATCTTAAGCATGAAAAATCTACACAGTGAGATTCTAACCCACATATGTAAGATACTCACAGCATGTTTCAAGGACATCAGCAAGACACTGTACATTTAACTACACTTTTAGAAGAAGTGTTTATGACATAAAACTCACGACAAATTGATGGGCTTCTCCAGGCTACGCATACACCAACTTCACTGCATGCTTGGGCATAGGCAGCTACTGCTGTACAGAAGCAATCACAGTCTCCTCCAGTGTCACAGGCACAAGCATCTGTCACACAAGCTTGGTAATATTTTGCTGGTTCAACCTGTTAGTAAACAGAAGCGTGATACTATACATCTTGCCTTCTAAATTCTTTCTTAGCTTTGCTAGAATAATTTTCTTAAAATTGTAGTATCTCAGAAGGAAGGCCTACACCGGTAATTTCTTTTTCTTTTGTAAGACACTGTTGAATGCTAGAGCTGATGCCAAGTGACACATTCAAATCATATATTGACAGATTTTTAGACACCCAGACATGTGTTCTGGGGGAAGATTAGATTAATTTTCCTGAGAAATATTAGGCAATTGCACAGAGTTACCTGGCAGTGTTTGGTATGTACTTAGTGTCAGATAAAGGCTATGCTGATACTTCATTACTATGTTATTACTATGCTGAGCTTGTGTTCTGTACCCGGTATATGAGAAATTTTTATTCAAGTCAGGCTATAAGGAAATACATAGTAATTATGAAATTATTCTTTTGTAATATGTGGATAATTCTTATGAACTTAATGTCTTTTTATTTCTTACAGGTAGGGACTATAAATCTGTCCCACTCAGTGGGATTCAGATTGAAGTTTTTCTGACACTATCTGAAGTGAAACATGCTAATAAGTGAGACATGCATGTTAAAACATATGAGGATAGCACCTTCAGTGACATACAGACTTAGTTTTCACACAATAAACTTCTGCCCTGGTAATACCTGAGAGTGACAGGCAGCAAAGACGTTGCTGTTGATGATGCTACACTGCTTCTCTGACCAGGACTTTCGGTAAGGGTTGGTAGAACATGGGTCCTTGATGTCGTTAGCATCAGGACATGTAGAGGATACTTTCCAGCTGTTTCCAAACTCTAGGACATTCTCTACTACAGATTGACTCCTTGTAGTAAAGTCATTGATGCTGTTGCCATCATAATTTCCACAGAGGCCACAGATCTGGCCCTGCAAAAGGAAGTAAATAAAATAATAATGGGTGTGAGAAAACTTGAAACAACATCTGAGACTGAAATAGTACTTGAAATGCAGCTCTTGGAATGATGCCATTAATGGTGCCATTCCTTTCTATCAGTCCTGAACATCTTCATGCTCTGTTTCCTCAGCAACAGATCATGACCACTAAGGCTAAAAGGATACTGCTCTTGACTTTTCTTCTTTGAAATCTGAACAATAAAACCATCTTTGTCATTGTAACCTTCTGCTTTGACAAGAAAATGAGGACTCAGCTGATTAAGATTTACACTTAAGCCTTGTTTTATACAATAGATGCACATATAAAAAAACCAGCCTTATAAAGCTGTCATAAGTATTATCAGTTCAGCCACATGATCTACTCATTGTGTCTTTACTACTAAGACTGCTAACAGGTATAAAAAGAAATAACATTTTCCTTGCACATCCAGAGATATCCCTCATTCTAAATGTATGGACCTGTACAACTGTGATAGGCTGCAATAGATGCTATGCTTTCTCTATGAATCTAAGGTGCATACTTTCCATATTACTACTATTTTTGTAAAATGCCAGTGGGTGAGGCAGGAAAAGAACCTATGGTACTGAAGCAAGTTGGTATATCTAGATCTAAATTGCGTTTTATTTTTATACCTAATTTAAATGTCACTGTGGTATACAATAAGATAGCAAACTCCTTATTTACTACAGTTTTTAGTACTTATGTATCATAAGCTAGGCAAATGAGTATGACAATGGGAATGCATTTTCCTTAGCACCTGTGTAGTTACAAGCTTGAAAAATATGTGGTAGCATACAAGAGGCTTTCACTCAAAATATTCACTCATAATACACTTCCTTGTTCCTAAAGTATGACAATTTGACTTTTGTGTCAATGAGAATAGGAAATAATGGATTACTTTCAAGATCAAGACTACTCAGTTGATTTATACACATGTAGTTATGTAATTTTAATAAGGTCTGATAACCTTTACCAAGGTTCAGTGGGTAATTTTAACAAAGTCAAGTCCAAAATAGTGGTCTGCCAACTCAAGTTCTGTCAGGCCAAATAGGCACTGAAAGCTGCCTTCAGAGCTCAGAACAGCAGAAGGACATCATAGCTTCCTGAGGTACCAGAGGAATGGAAAACAACATGGGATGTCTTGCAGCAATGCTAAAGACATCACCTGTTCGGGATCTTGGCAGGGTCTCAACAAAATTCACACTCAGACAAATCTGGACTGTATATTGCCATTTAAGTGCTAGTTCCACACCTTAAAATCAGGGCTGAGCTTGATGAAGATGCTGGTTTTCTTGTCCCACATGAGGATCAGTCCGCTTGTGGTCTCAATTACCAAGTACATACCCATATAGCGGATTGTATATGGCACCTCATCGTTTTGTCCTCTCTTTACTACACTGACATGTTCTTCACCAAGTATCAGTTCATAGCTCTGAAACAGGACGAAAAGTTGATTAGAAATGAGCTCAGTAGCTTTCAAACCTGGTTTTCTGCTTTTAAGAGTACTATGAATAGTTTATATAATGAAAACAAATCAGCAAAATTATATAGCTCAAAACTATATTGCTCAGATCTTTGGTTCTTGGAAATGTGGTAAAAGATATTTTAAATGGCATAGGCCTAAAAAGGGTCTTTTGACCATCATGGAGGAACTACATTGCATAGAATAAAAGAATATTCTGACACAATAGGCTAACTTTCTGTTAAAAACTATTTTTCCATAGTTTTACCAAGAGTGGTATACAATAATGTGGGAAATGGAAAATATAGAAAGCTGGAAGCTCTACCAAATATTTCACTTGCATCTAATGTAAACCTAACTTAATAGTTGAATTGCTTTTTAAAATATTTTCCAACTTCCTTGAAGCAATGGATACCTAGGCTTCTCCTAAGCCTTAATAGATACAGAACAAAACTGGTCTATATGCCAAACCTTATTACCTCTAAGAAGACTTTGATGGATTTTGAGCAAGTTGTCCCAGCGTTGCCACAAGGAATATTTTCAGTGACAACCCTGAAGGTTCCGTTGGCTGAGCCACAATGGTCCTGGGTAGAGAATAACATTTAAAAATATATTATTTTTACAGACACCATCAAGATTACCTCACACTTGTTATTGTTAACTATCAGTACCTGCACTAGTGTGTATTCACAATTTCCATTGAAGCTGAAGGTTTTGTCATCAAAGGTATTATAATGACCATCTCCATAAATAGCACAAGTGCCCAGACACTGATTTTTGGTACATTCCCACTTCCTATTCTTGCATACACTAGAAAAGAGAATAAAATATATTAATAATAGAACAACTCACTGTTTTGAGTAGACATACCCCAGCAATCAGTGTTTGTTTGGCAACTCACCCCTGGTATATGTTATATTGATTATGGAGTTAAAGTCGTCTTTTACATTTTTCATGTAAAGAATTAAAACAAAGTTCTGTTCTGGTACTCTGAATACATTAACTGCAAAACAAGATACTTAATGAACCCTGTAGTCCTAAATGTTTCTTCCCATTCTGTGCTTTGGCCATCTGATACAGATCAGAAGGCAACCTGGTCATGCTGTGTAATCCAAAACAAGAAGATCCATCAACTGATTAAATGTGCAATCCAAATCTTTCATCACTGCTGTACTATTTTAAGATCTTTAGAAAGACAAATGAGGGAACCAGGAATGTTACTTCCACAGATGTATTTACCAGGTGTTACAGTCAGAGTTGATCTTTTCCCCAGGCTGATACATGGCTTCATTGTGAATGCAAGGACATTCATCTTCAGGAATACAACCACCATTTCCATCTAACACAAGCCCATTTGGGCACATGCAGCCAGATGTACATTGTGAGCTATACTGGAAAAGACAAGAGAAAGACATAATTTCAGAATGAAATAATCACATTAAGAAAAGGAAGATTAAATTATCATAAAATGTCTTTATATGTTCTTTTTGCTGCCCAGGTTAAATGGTAGAGAACTATAAAGTACTTCTAGGACAACAGAACAAAAAGGAAGTTATTAGCCATTGAATTAATAGAATATAAATCTGTTAAAGATAAATGTTTTATGTATGCTAATTCTCATTGTTCTTGTGGAATCTGTGAAATTTAAAATACATTGGATCTTGCACTTTGTAGTGGGTGATTTGTGATTGAATGGACTTTTAAAAAGAAAAGTAAGTAAAGTCTTTTTCTGGTTTGGTTGAGCTACACTGAAATTGTTTATCTGATATGATACTTATTTATGAAATGCCATGTGGCCACCAAGAACCTAGGTGGAGTAATATTATTAGATGTGCAAGAAGTTCACAAATGCAGCAGGATATGAGAAAGAATAATTTCTCCTAGACAGTTTTTAGCCACTAATTTTCTCCTACAGATGTCAAATGTGTGATAGAGCCCTAGATTTTTCACTACTGGTTCCAGTTACCTGCAGTAGCTGAAGTCAGGTAAACACTAATCTCAAGATCTAATTTGGATGTTACTTTATTATATTTTGATCTAAGGGTCCCAGTGCTGATGCTTCATAACATTGTTTTAGGCTTTTGCTATGAGAATAAAGTATCCGTGTTGTAGATGTTGAGTAGATCCAATGGATCAATTACTTTAGCAATAAGAGCACAGACAAAGCATGGAAGCACCATTCAGCCATGATATACTTACACACTGCATATCCAGAGTCTGGCAACTTTTTTGACATTCTGCTCCAGTTTTTCCTGCAGTGGTGTTTCTACAGTCAAAGTAGACCATGGGAGATTCACAGACTAGAGGAAGGAAAGTGAGAATAGTAAAGAAATGGCACAGAGTTTATTCCACAGTTGTAGCCACTAAAACCATCTAAAAATTCTTCGGAAATTCCCTATTTCAGTTAGTAGAGATTGTTGTCCCTATTCAATCTGTTGATTAGATACACTTCAGAGCACTGAATTCTCAGGAAAATAACTCCACATTATTTCAGAAAAAAAAAGTCTTTATGTAAAAAGAGGTCTTATGATTAATGTAGGCACATTCCTGCCTTTTATGATAACTATTGCTCTATAACTAAATGAGAAATACTTCTATTAAAAATCCATTAAGAAGAATCAATTCTATGAACTATCCTCTGCAAAATCTGACAAAGAGAAAAAATAAGTGGAAGATTATTTTCACCTGGAGTTGGATTCGGTGCTCCAATGCAATTCAGTCTTCCCTGGACACAAGAGCTGTGAGAAAGGAAAAAACATATTCCAAAATGCTGTTTTGCAGTCTCAGGAAAAAATTTCCCTTAATAACACTACACGTGCTGCTTCCATATGATATCCATTATTGCTTAACAGGAAAATTCATAGGTTGTGATGAGTATACATCTCTGCTTGTTATTTACATTCTCATAAGATCTCTCCTTGCTGGTATTGTCATAAATTTATACTTGAAAAATTATGGAATTAAATAAAAAATGCCCATAAATATAGTTGCTCTATCCATCTAGAAATATCATAGAAACATATGGATTGGAAAAGACCCTTAAGATGGAGTCCAACCAGCACTGCCAAGTCCACCACTAAACCATGTCCCTAAGTGCCACATCTGCATGTCTTTAAATACCTCCATGGATGGTGACTCAACCACTTCCCTGGGCAGCCTGTTGCAATGCTTTACAGCTCTTTCAGTGCAGAAATTTTTAACATCCAATCTCAAGCTCCCCCGTGTACCTTGAGGCCATTTCCTCATGTCCCCTATCACTTGTTACTTGGGAGAAGAGGCAGACCCCCACCTTGCTACAACCTCCTTTCAGATAGTTGTGCAGAGTGATAAGGTGCCCCGAGTCTCCTTGTCTCCAGGCTAAACTTCCCAGCTTCCCCAGCCGTGCCTCATAAGACTTGTGCTCCAGACCCTTCACCAGGTTTGTTGCCCTCTCTGGACTTACTCCACCACCTTAATGTCTTTCTTGCAGTGAGGGGTCCAAAACTAAACACAGGATTTGAGGTGCACTCTCACCAATGCCCAGTACAGACGGACGATCACTGCCTTAGTGTCAAAGTACAGGTAGTCAACATCCACAACCTTTCCCTCATCCACTAAGTGGGTCACCTGGTCATAGAGGGAGATCAGGTTGGGCAAACAGCACATGCCTTCCCTAAACCTATGCTAGCCGGGCCTGATCCCCAGGTTGTCCCGTATGTGTCACATGATGGCATTCAAGGGGATCTGTTCCATAATCTTCCTTAGCACCAAGGTCAGGCTGACAGGCCTGTAGTTCACCAGATCCTCCTTCTGGCCTTTATTGTAGGTGGGCAGCACATTTGCCAACCTCCAGTGAACTGGGACCTCACTGGTTAGCCAGGACTGCTGACAAATGATTGCAAGTGGCTCAGTGAGCACTTCCACCAGCTCCCTCAGTACCCTTGGATGGACCCCACAAGCATAGGTTTCTGTGTTTTTAAGTGATGTAAGAAGCAACTAATGATTTTACTTTTCATTGTACTGGCTTCATTCTGCTTCTGTCCCTGTCTTGCAGCTCAGGGGAATATGTACCATTCGTAAAAGTTGAAACTGAAAGAACTTAAAGCTGAAGAAATTCAAGAGAAGAGCGCTGTATTGAAATTCAGGAGACAGGATGAAACCATCTTAAATGTAACAGATTTTAATGAGAAACTAGGTATGCTGCTACTGCTTGAATGTTTTTCAAAAGATTCACTTACCATACTTGCCCATTTTCATGGACAACTTCTCCAAATGGTATGGGAGATCCTCTGTAGTAGCAGGGGCATTCAGTAGCAGGCACACATTTGCCACTCTCATCCATGTAGGTTCCGTTTACGCAGGTGCAGCCGTCAACTGGGACAAACTTAATGTTGCATGTGACATCAGGCTCACTCAGAGACCGACAAGTGGGTGGACAGGAAGAGATGGTATAGCTGTAGCTTAGGGATTTGGGACATGAGGTGGTGTATTTTGCTTGAGAGAGGAAAATAAAATAGCTTGTTAATTCTAGATGGTAAATTCTCATGGGAAAAAACCCAACATAGGCAGTAGAAATAACATGTAAACAATACTGTGCATGTCTGCTTATGTTGCATCTTTCATGTAAATGTATTTCTGAATACTTCCAGAGTTAGATCTGAAAAGCTACAGTACATGTGGAGTAACTGATGCCTGCAAAGAAGAAAATAATTTTTCAAATGAAGGTTCAGAAGGTTCAGAAATCTCCATTTGGAGTTGCCATTCATTGCCAAGACTCCTAAACTCCTTGAAGTATGAGACAAGATGTCTCCCTGAATGTCTTCTGGTGTGCTGAAAACAGACAAGCTGGATGAGCAGAGCCTTGCATGCAGCTTCAAAGACCTCTCATTTGCAAGCAGTATTATAAGTACTGTTATGCTAATATGTCACATTTTCTCTACAATAACTTGTGACAAAGCTGTAGTGCAACTCAAAGTGCAACCTGTTCAGAAACAGGTGGAGGCACTTTCGTAACAGCAGTCCCTTTCCCAGTCAAGCTATGTCTCCCATCTGTTCTTATTCACTCTTGCTAACAACGGATTGATTCTAAGGGGACAGTAAAGAATCACTTCCAGGAGTGCACTTAACAAAATTCCTTCCTCAACAGTTACTAATTTGTCTAGAAATGAGTAGAAAATAATCTCTGATCAGCAGTTTTTATTGATGTGTGTTCTTAGGAAATGGGGTAGTTAAGAGTACTTACTGCAGACATCAGTCCTCCATCCCTGCAGCTGGATTCCTTTTGCAGCACAAGCTCTCACATAGGAAGACAGGGCTGCACACAGACAGTCCTCACTATTTTCACAGTTACATGTGTCAAACATGCAGTTCTAAGAATGGAGAGAGAAATAAAGTCTCGACACTGCTAATATGATCAATCTAAAAAAACCAATGAACATTATCTTTCCGGTCTCACTCCCTAATCCTTCTTCAGATATGCTTACTCACAGACCCCAGTAACATAGCTTTTATCACTGTCTAGTCTTTGTCTAAGTTTCCTGGCAGGAGAGAATGCAGGTAATGGAAGTTCAGTTCGTGTCTGCAGTTATTACTAGGAAATAGTGGTCTTCAAGTCTGTTATACATTTAACAGCTTCATGGTCCTCTGAAACACATTCATGGATATGCTGCACAATAGCATACAAAGCTCTATTCACAGCATGCAGTTCAGACACATCCTTTCACTGGTGTCTGTACCTGGATGACTTCTAATGAGAAGAAAGATTTGCAACATATTGATAACAGAATTATGACTATTAGGTAATGGGCATTCTGTGCCAAGTGGCTATTAATGAGATACCAGGCTGATGAGATGACAATTCACTGATACACAAACAAGCATTTGACATGCGTTTACATAGGCTTTCTGCTATAAGTGTCAAACCTTCCAGGAGTAAATACCTGCCTTTTCATTTGCAAACAGGTCAGGATCTTGAAGCCAAGACTGACAATTGAAATAAGGTAATGTTACAACACAAACAGAAACACATGTTGAAAGAAGGAAGTGCTGCAGTACAGAAATTAAGATATAGGCATTGCATAAGACATGTCTGGAACAGTCCTTTTCTGGTAGCTAATTGTAATGATTCCATTTCTATTGTTTCTAAAGGGAAAAACAATCTAACAAAGTACCGTGTGGTAAACAGCGGGATTCACTGCATAGTGGCAATCAGCAAAAGGTCCTGTGCTGTTAGTTAGCAGTCCACACCAATACTGAGCGTATTTTTCTGTGAAAAGAAGAAACAATACAAATGCACATTACTCTTTGTATTTCATTAGTCACAAAACCACACTGCCCTGGTCTATGAAGCCAGTTCTGACACTTTGTTAAATTTCTCCTTCTCTGTCTTTTTTTTTTTTTTTTTTCACTCAGCTTGTGGTCTAAGGTTCCTATAACCAAAGAAGAGGACTTGCTGAAGGGGATGAATAAAAGGTTTCACCCTACAGTTTTCTTCAGCTGTGTTTCTCTGACTCTTCTTTTATTTTGTTACTTATCTTCAGTGCTTTCATTTTTGAATATTTGTTTCTGATTTCAGATGCATGTTTTTACCAAATATGTAAATCTTTATTTTTTATCTTTGCTTTCCAACTGATGTGTTTTCCTTAGGGATGAGCAAACAGAAGAAAAAAGCAAACTAGAAAAAATTCTAAGAAGCACGCACCATTATCAATGCTGAGTGCACAAGGGTTCTCAAAACTCTGCTGGATATTGGGGCATGAAGCCTGAGTTTTCCATGTATTAGCAAATGCTGTTGCTGTTCCTTCAATTATTCCACTTATGACCTTGAAGTCATCAGTTTGGATATTATTGAAGTTTCCACAGAGACCTGTTGAAAAGCAGTGAGAAGTTTATACTGCTCATATTACACAAAAGGCATTAATCAAGATGTTCTTATATTTCATTCACTTACCACAAGTCTGGTCTTTGAAAATAGGATCCAGTCGCACAAACACTTGCATTATAGGTATGAACTGGATTTCAAGGTGGACTCCAAAGTTTGTCTGCATGATCATGAAGAATGATGAAGGTCTGAACATGGTGACATTAGCTACACATGAAAAACAAAATGATCACTCTCAGGATGAGGTCAAATGCTGAAAACCTGACACTGTTCTTCTTGAATTTCTATCACAATTGTTGCAAATTCTGAGGTGAAATAAAGCCAATCTTTATGAAAATTAATCAGAAATATAAATCAAAATTTATTGTTCAAAATCTACTTGCAGCTACCAAGTTATTAGCTTTACTTCCTTCCAGAACATAAGCCGTTAGAGATTACTACTTCAAAGAGAATAAGTAGGAAAAACTGTATGGCACTGAGAATTAAAAAGAATATTTCTGTTTCTAAGCTTGTACAGAATACATTGGAGCCCTCACTCTGCTGGAGCAGGAAAATAAGGAGATCTGGAGGTCAGAGATATCGCATGGAATCATTAGTTACTGAAACAAAGCAAAATTCAGATTTCTTTCTAAGCAAGTGTGAGCACAGGGGTAGTAGTTAAAAAAAAGAGGTAAGAGAGGTAAAAAGATGTCTTCTGCATTTCATTTTGGGCAGTAAGAAAGAAGTAAACCTGAGAGAGATCAAATCAGGAGACTGTAAATGCTGTTTACTACTATTTAAACTCTTGCCTATGCTTGTACTGTCTCTCATTTCTTTATGACACCAAACATTTCACTTTATTTCAAAAGCACTTGTATTATTCACTGTTGTAGAGAAAAAAAAAATACCTGCTGACATGGGCAGCTGGGTGTAGATTGAGTTCACAAACACACTACGATCAGGTCTGACCTCAATGACCTATTAAGGAAGGGGAAAAAAGGCAACTGTGTGAATCAGACTGGTTTGGGTTGGGAAGGACCTTTAAAGGTCTTCTAGTTCTAACCTCCCTGCTATAGGCAGGGACACCTTCCATTAGACCAGGTTGCTCAAAGCCCCATCCAACCTGGTCTTGAATACTTCCACGGATGGGACATCCACAACTTCTCTGGGAAACCTGTTCCAGTTTTTCACCATCCCCGTGAGGAATTTCTTCCTTATATCTAATTAAACCTGCCCTCTTTCAGTTTGAAGCCACTCCCAAAAAATCACAAAGTGATTGTTCTATGTGCCCTAGTAAGAAGTCCCTCTCCAGCTTTCTTGTAGGCCCCCTTTAGGGACTGGAAGGTGCTCTAAGATCTCCCCAGAGCCTTCTCCTCCCCAGGCTGAACAACTCCAGCTCTCTCAGCTTGTCCTCATAGGAGATGGTCTCCAGCCCTCTGATTGTCTTTGTGGCCCTCCTCTGGACCCGTTACAACACGTCCATGTTCTTCTTAGGCTGGGAGCCCCAGAGCCGGATGCACCACCCCAGATGGGGTCTCACCATAGTGGAGTCAAGGGGCAAATCACCTTCCTTGACCTAGTGGCCACACTGCTTTTAATGCAGCCCAGGCTGGCTTTCTGGGCTGCCAACAATGTGTGAAGAATAACTATAATCCAAAGAGTAATAATGGTGATATTAATTAAACAGATATTCAATAAAAAAGGTAGGTCTTTGTGATTTCACCTCCTCCCTGTTTCTACCTTGTCCCTTTACTAATTTTCCCTGCTGCAAAAGAATAACTTTTAAAGTGATTTTCTCAGTTTTTTAGGGGATTGCATCATCTAGTTTTGTTTGAACACATCTTAGTTATGAATTACATCCCTTACTGTTGTAATTGTAGTTACTAACCTTAAAACTCGTGGGTTTTTTCTATCTAATTAGGAGAGAAAATAACTTTTTTCTGCTTTGTGTGTACAATGTGTTTCTTAATGAAATTCCACAAAGCCAAATTTATGGCTGATCTGATTTTCACAACAAAATCAGTTTCTTTTCACTTGATTAAAATTAATATGTAGTCATTGTATATGTTGAACATTTGACAAAGAAATGCGGCTCCCTGACTGATTAAGACCTAGTTACTTTTCTCTCCATATTTTTATATGCTTATTTTGCATTCTTACAGTTTGTCCTTTGTTCATGTTGAGGGTCACTGTCTTTAAGCATGTCTCAGTGTCTGTTAGGCCACATTTGCGTAGGTCTACCAAGATGGTGAATGTTTCATCTTTGCAGTCCTGAAAAAAAATGCCAGCAGTTATTCATGAAAGTCTAATTACAGTAGCTTTCCCTGTAAAATCTTCTCTCAACTCTGGGAAAATATTTCTGTTTCTGAAGAAGATACACACTCTCACAAATCCCTGACCCTCTTTGGCTGAAGATTCAATTCTGCCCTGTTGTAATGACTAAAACCAAGAAAACTAAAATCTGTATTTTATTGATTATATCCATATGGATATCAAGATGGTTATCTGTATTCATATTTGGTGTTTTTATTCATGCCAACTTCTGATGTTTGATTCAATTCTACTGTAACTCTCATCTTTCTGTAGACGCTATCTATATTAGACAAAAATTTCAGATAAAACATGTCTCAGGTGAACAGTAACATACAACATTTTATTTCATTTTACTGAATTGTGCAGGTGAGGAAAAAGGAAAGCAAAAAACAAATGGAAAAAGCCCCTAAAAGATCAAAATATTTCACACATGCCTGTAATTAAATATTTTAATTATCGTTAACTTCTAATTTTTCTACTTCCTTTAAAAATGTTCAAAACCAAAATTAAATGTATCAGGTAACTTGAACTGATTTTCTCTATTTGAACTTCACAGAAATGAAACACATTTTGGTTTAAAATCCTAAATTTAATTTTTTTAAGAACCGTTGGTGTAATTTTTCAGACTGATACCATCTGGCCAAATGCCATATAATAGAGTAACATGACAAAAATTATGCAACTCCGTAAGAAAGCTGGATTAATCATACTGAAGAATGTATACTAAGCAAATTCTTTAAAAAGACAATGTTCTTCAATTACTCTATCACAGAACTGGAAATTTTCCAGTGAACACTGTATATAGTTGCATGACATCCTACTAGTTAAATGATGATTGTCATTTGAATGGCAGCATAGTAAACATCTGGCTAAGTGGTAGGTAATTTAATGTCTGCATGTCAAAAGTGCTAAGCCGCAGAAGTGTTGAGATCACGTTTTCTTTCTATAAATGTATGAGGCTTTATGACCTACTAATGTCTGAGTCCCACCTTAGAAAGGACGTAGGTGCAGTCTCCGTGGTGATCATAACGTTTTTTGTCATATGTGGAAATGTGTGAACCTCCCTCTACTGAACATATTCCTGGGCATGACATGTCTTGGCAGCTCCACTGGCCTCCATTGCAGGTACTGGAAGAATAAAGTTAGCTGAAATCAGTAACAGTGGCCCAGAGTAACAGTGGTGTTAGGTTCAGCTGGTTTGCTATTGCTTTTCCCTTCAGGCTGTAGTTTGACACATAGTGAATCTAGACTTAAGACTTTCCAAAACATTGTGAACTTGTGATGGAATGACTCTGGTAACCATTCACCTTGCTTATTTAATTGTTTTCTATCTTTGGACAGGTGAACTCTCCAAAACAGGTATTGGATAAAAAATTGTTTGGTTTTTTTCAGCTAACATAAAGCACAATGACAAATTGAAATATCTTTTGTGGGGGTTTTTGTTTTGTTTTCTTTTTTTTTTTTTAATATAATTGTATCATAAACTAATAAATAAGGAAATGTAATTTCTCATTTACTCCTGATGCAGGTTGTGTCTGTCTTCTAAGGTGATGTGATAGTGCACAGGTATAAGATTAATAATTGTGAAATGGCAGTTATATTATGTCATCCCTTGCTTTCTCCAGAGAAAATAAATATTTGCAAATACATTAATGACTGCAACTTCATTCCTCTTAGAGAAATCCAAATGTTTGAACAAAATAAACAAAGAGGAAACATTTTAATTGACTGATGAGAAATCTAAACATTGTAAATCCTTGCTTTGATCACCATGAGTTAGAGTGCAAAGCAAGTTATGGCTGTTGCTAAATAAAACAAACAATGTTCTTTAGGGGTATTTTGAAACTGTAGTGGTCAGTTAAATACATATGTCAATTACCAATGATGCAATGGCATATAATAAACTATTAAACTCATTAAATTTATGAGAGGAAATAGTGAGTTAGAAAAGCAACAAAGGTTACCAGGTCTGGCACGGCTCTGAAAAAGAAGCTCCTGTAGCGTAGGTGTTGCCATTGTAAATACAGGAGCACTGCTGCTGGGGAATGCAGCCAGAATTGTTGATGTCATCAAATACAGTCCCTAGATTAAAAAAAAAAAAAAAAAAAAAGACAAAACCTTGATGAATTAAAGAGGCATTTCCTATACACCTGTTTGTTTATTACAAATCCTTAAAATCATCTTAGAGGCAGATCTACAGCTGTTGTGAATGGATATACCAATGCTGAGGACAGCATGACTATGTCAGTTTGCTCAGGGAAGGATTTGGCTTTTGTATTCTTAAATTCCACCTGCTCTGAAAGAGGGACTTATTGTAGCACAGGTGGCTGGTTGAAAGACTTGTCTTGATCTGTTTGCTGTTCTTTTTTCCTGCTTTCTAAATATTGCACATGTCTTGGCAATTAATTCAGGTATCTTTTCTCAGCTGAGACATGACAAATGCTTTTCACTTGCAGCTGTGAAAAATGCAAATACATGAGATTTAAAGCCCACATGGAACCTGCCCAAATTCTACAGGTAAGCTATTGTTCTTTGAGATCAGAGATGTATTTTAGAACTTGCCTGGGGGGCAGAAACAACCATCAATACAGTGTTCTTCACAAAACTGAGATCGTTCAGGATTTGTGCATGTATCAGCACAGGGGGAGTTGCACTCCTCGTACTGCATGTTGTAAGGACACTTCTTGGCTGAAATTTAAAAAGGAAGAAAGATTGATGTTTTTTCAGTCAAAAGTATTTCTAGTTCACTATATATGTAAATATATATATCCATTTAAGGTTTCCAACTACATAAAAAAGCGCACCAAACTGCAGATTGACTACCAGCTCTCAAAATTTGCAAGTTTAATCACCTAGATCCCTATTTTACTGTTGAGATGTGCATTCCATGAGTAGTGTAGAACTGGCTCAGTGACTGGATTTCTAGGGACAGCAAGGTAATGACCCCAGAAAGTCAGCAAGGTCTGTCTTTCTACTGAAGGCTCCCTTCCCACAAACACCTGTATCGCTAGCGAAATGTAAGATTTAATTCCTAAAACTTTAGCATATTTTCATTTTCTGATACCATCCTCTGGGCAAGTAGTACCTTATGGGCTTTTGTTTTGGAGCAAATGCAGGTGACAGTATAAACAGCTACCCTGCAATAATCAGGTATGTGTTTAAATCAGTGCAAACTCCTCACTACCAAGCAAGAGGAGATAAATAAGTGCTTAACCAGCTAAACACCTGTGAAGACCCAATCACTTAATAATTGAGAACAAGAAATGCTGTAGCCACCATGAGAAAAGGAGAGAAACATGAATACAAGCAAGCAAGCTTGTCTCATTTTTTATTCTTGTTTCTCCTTTATTTGCTTCATTTACTGTCCCATTTAATTAAATTACACTTCAACTTCCATTAGTATCCATGTAAGTGTTTATAGTGTTTAATCCAGTGTGCATTAAAATCCTTAGCTTTTTTAAGTCTTCATGCTGGAACTTGTACATCAGAATCCTCTGAAGAATACAATCTTGAATGGCCTGTAACTTTTCAGGCATCCTCAGCATCATTTGAGAGCTTGTTGTTTGTTACTGAGTATGAAGTAAGGCTGTCTCCAGTGATACTTACAGCACAGTTTTGAGGTTCTCCAGTTCAGGGGCTGCCCACCAGCATGAGCACACTGCCGGGAGTATTCAGCAAAGGTGTCACAAATACATGAGGCGTTTTTAGATTCTTCAGAGCGGCACAAGTCATCTTGGCAAGCTGTAATGTACTCTCTAACATCAACAAGGTCATTACATTCTGCAAATGCAGAGCTGGTCAATGTTTTCTGGCATATGTCATCCTTTGGAGAAAAAAAAGTAAAGAACATCCAGTAAATGCAAAGAAGCTTTTTTTTTTTTGTATTTTTAGTTTATGTAATTATTATTTAATAGAATCTTATAGCCCTCTTTAAGTTACGGTCGCCTGAGGGCTTTTCCTGTTGACCTGTCTGAAGCTGTAGAAGGGAACAGATAAATTTGAAAGAAAAATACAAGAATAGTAAAAAGATCCTTACAAGATTATCAGAGCAATTAGATGGCAGGGTAGAAGTGGGGTCTTCACAGTGTTCTGTTGGCCCATCCATTTTGTGCATATTTCCAAATTGCAAGGCAGACATCCTAATATCTGTAGAAAAGAAGTTTAATAATGGAGGTTGGGGGGTTTTGTTCAGTGCAATTGCCTGTTATTTTTTTCTTCTCTAAAGAATTCAGCTCAAGACTGGACAAGGCAGTTAGTTCCCTTAAGTCTTTTAATGTGATCATCACCTCTTCCAAAGGAAGCAATGACTCAATTTACCTTGCACAGCACCCTGGAAAAAGTAAACATTAGAAAACAATTCTCAGCCTACTGTGTCTAGATGCACACCAAGATTTTTACTAGAAAAATAACAAACTCTTTCCAGATTATATTGAGTCCATGTAGGGAAGAGAAAAAAAAAATCTAAATAGGGGTTTGAAAAACAGAGCCTGGTGTAAGACAAGGTTTAGGAAAACGCTCAAACTGGGGATTGTTTAAAAAGATAAAGATAAGATCTTACAAAGATTATGCATTTCAGCAGGGAAATGTGGATATACCAATTTTAAGACAGAACTGAAACAAGAAATGTACTGTTTACAAAATTCAATTGCCTTTTGTTTTATTGAATATATTTCTTAATTATTTATCTTATTGGTGAAAATCTCGATCATTTTTATGGAGTTAGCTAATTAGATATACCAAAATGGTGTACAACAATGGCATGCAAGAAATATGCAATCAGTTGTTAGCACCAGTACTATATTTACACTTAAAGTATTAAATCACATGATCTGTACTACATATCTTTAAACAGAGATTGAATCATATGTTCTGAGTAAACAATTTAACAGGATAGGAAAGAGGAATGCTGATGATGTCAGAGATAAAATAATACAAAACAAAAAAAGCATGTTGGAGACCCTGCAAGCCAATTTTTTTGTTTAAAAAACTTACTGTTTGAAAAGAATTCATTGTAAATTGGAAGGCCATTGAAGTCCCCGCAAAGTCCACAAGTCTGATTGGCGTATTTCTCATTCAATTCCAGCTAAAATGACGGATAGTAAGTTCATAGAAGTTAGTATAAACATTCTAAAATATATTCAAGACCGCAGAAAAGACTTGCACCTGCTGCCTCTAAGTATTTTTTGTCAGATCTGTGGTATTTTATTTAGCAACTTAGTTCAAACCTAGAGGATAGAATAAAGAGCTGGCCTGGATCTGACCTTCGAGGTGGAGTCTAATCTATTGATGCTATTGACACAGACTTCAGTTTTCACTATAGTATCTATACTGCTCTCAGCCTCTTTCTATTAATTCTTCAGGAAGAAAATCAAATCCTCAGCAAAAATGAAGTCCTAGGAGAGTGAAATTCTGCTAGAAATATATATATTTGAAGGGGTAATTAGGCCCTATAACAATACCAATAGCTAATTATATAGAAAGTGATTTTTCATCCTATTTTACTCAGACATCTGCTATCCACTAGGTATAAATCCATGTAATTTTCTTTCGGACTACTTGGATGCAAGCCTATCTTTACTAGGAAATAATTGTTCAACAGTATGAGAGAAGAGGGCAGTAGTAACCCCCTAAAGAGATAGGTACTGGCCTAATGAAAGATTAGCTCTAATCTCTGAAGGTGTAGAGAGGTCCAGGAATAGTTCTTACCAGGATGCTGTCATCTTCATTCCATAATAACACGACACCAATTTTGCTGCCAACTTTCACGTAAATGCTGCTTTTCTCTATGATAATGCCAGATTGACTGTATGGCAGCTGAACTCTGGGAAAAGGCAGAAAAAATGCTAGTTAATTTCTGATCCAGATGTTTAATAAGCTTGTGGTATCCAGCATCTGTAGGATTCTAAAATAATGTCTTTTTTTTTTTTTTTAAGAAAAGCAATTGAAAAATAAGATGGTCCAACACTATCAAATATAGATCTAAATTTGGATCAACTTCTCAGGATTTTTCATCCAAATTTTATTTTTGAGGTAATATTTCAAGGAAAGATTGATTTTCTGTGATAGGAATTTATAGCATTTTATTTGTTATTTATGTTGGTAAAATTGTCAGATTTATTGAAGAACACATAATTGTTTCTTCCCAAATACACCAAAGTACTTGGTAAGTTTGAAAAAAAGTCTGTGGTTACCAAACAAGTGTTATGAATAAACTTACCTATTGCTGTTGATCATGACAGCACCCTTTGTTAGTTCAGCAACTACACCTTCAAGCTTCATGGTGATACGGTTGATTGTTGGAGCATTTGCCACCACTTCACGCCTAATCTGGATGTTGAAGTCCTCATAGGCAGCGTTGCAATGGGAGGCAAAAACATAATTACAGAGCCCAGGGAAGTAGAATATGTCTCCATCAAAGGTCTTGAAGTGGAAGTTGCCCCATGTGCTGCATACACGGCCATTGTGAGCAGGATTTGAGGCTGTGAATTAAAACTAGATGTTAAAGAATGAATTAAAATTCCCAGTATTAGCATGGTGAAAATCAGCTTCTCCAAGGCTTCATTTGTATATTGAACAGTTTTTGCCTGCCTACCTCCATTTGTAATTTTCTACCTATACATTATAATACTTTGTATTCCTTCATCGATCACCCTATATCTGTTACTCCTATGCCCCATAAATGGTTATTGTTATGTTCAGTTAGATCTTAATTAGTTACCCACATTTCAACTAAGATGACAGTTTAGTATTATGTTTCTTAATCACCCTGTTTCTCCTCTTAACTAACAATGACTTGCTTTACCAGTGTCTTTCCCCCTTTGCATTAGATTCTCTGTCTATATCCCCTAAAACTGAACATTAGCTGAATACATTCCTTTCCTTTACTTACGTGTTACTATTAGATTTGTCAGCATTGATGGGATGATGTTCAACTTGGCTGAAACTGTGAGAGAAGCTAGGAAAAAAAAAAGAAAGAAAACAAAAACTAGTACAATAATACCAAAATTTGCAACTAGGATAGACCTAGAAAGGACTAGACAGATCCAATGAGACAATGTTATGCCTGTTTTATTTTCCACAGGCCATGGGTCAGGTTAAAAGTGCATACTAAAATTCAAACTCAGAATAGTTAAATCATAAAATATTGCTTTCAGCTGTGATGATCTGCATTTTCTACATTTTAATTTTGACTATTTTACAAAACTCTGTGTTGCATTAGGAAGGCAGAAATTCACAGCTCTGCATATTGGAGTGCTTCAGACACACTGAACAATACAAAGGGCTAAGCTGTACAAAATTAGCATCCTATTGGTACAAAAGTGTAGTTGCCTTCTTATTATACCTCCTCTTTCTAAGGAGGGAATAAAAACCTTAATTATCACATTTGCTCTTTGTTTTATATTTTTCTGTTAGGGGGCTGAAAACCCTTTGAAATGACCAGAAATTGGTTGTACAGGCTGGTCACAAATCATTACATGGTGAAAATCAATGATGATAGACTTTTTGATTTCCCAACATCAGCCACTTATTTTACAGCAGACTAAAGTGGTCTCATTTCCTTGTTTATAAGGAACCAAACATCCTGCATATATATTTCACTTTGATTTTTATATATACATGTTCATGCACATATGCATACCGCCTCTACAAACACACATCTGTTTTCTTAGTTAACTATGATTATACAAATATAACCATACTCCATGTGTGTGTAGTAGTTGGTGTATAATAAATCTACTACTATTCTTAGAGAGAGAGAGAGAGAGAGAGGGGCTTGTTAATACATATTTCTCTTTATTTGACACTACTGACAATATGCTAAGAAGGTTTTTTTAGGCATTTTTAGTATTTAGTATAGATGTAGTAAATAAGTACAAATATACAGTATAAATAAACGTACCGTTTTGGTTTTGTAGAAGACCCCCAGAGAATTTGCCTCCTATTTGGATTCCAATCTGACCTCCTGTGAAAAAATTGTAAAAAGCATATTAAGAGTAATGTCCTGTATCTGTCCTGTATCTGAACTTCTAAAGCAAATCATTTAGACCCAAATACATCTCTGTAAAATGAAGGGGAGAGTCAATTATCACATCAGAAAAAATGAAACAGGCTCAAAGAAGATGGTTCAAACTCACTTTTCTGTGCAGAAAACCTTACAGCATCATGCTGTAAGTCTATTTGACCAAGGGTTCTTGCTACCCCACCTGAGGCAAAGACTTTTGAGAGATGACAAACTCTGACCTGAATGCTTTGAAGTCTAGAAAAAGACTGACTCTGACCTCCCGGATTGGTGCTCTAAGCTCTTGTATTTTATGAGTAAATATGGCAGGCATTTTCTGTAAAAGTTGAAGGGCTACAACTTTATTTTGTGAAGGATTGAATACAGTCAGCATGCGATAACTGTGCTTGGAACATATTGACTAACATGTACCTACAACCTGCCAACTCTAAATCCTCACAGGATTTAAGCGATGAAATGACTAATATCTGAATCCTTATCTGGATTATGTGAATGAGTACTGTAGGTGTCTAGAGAATTTCTCAGTCAAAGCAGGACTGCTTGTGTAATTTAGCCCTAAATTAAGCCTTTTTTCTCCTTATACAATGGGCGAGAAGAGTTGCCTGACTTAGAACTGGATCCATAAGAACCATATCACTGAACTGGAAGTCAAATCTGTGGAAGAGAGGGAAATGCCATAAAACCCAGTTGCCTTTGGTGCTTACGTTCCTTTCTGAGCATTTTCTCCACTGAAGAACCTCAGCCCATGTACCTCTATGAAAGCTGAACAATTATCTTTGCCTTTAAAAGAACTGGATCAGGAGCACCTTTTTTAAAAAAATTATTTTTCTAATATAACTTCATCAACAATGTAAGCAGATTTAGTGTTTGATCCCAGAGCTGAGGAAGAATGCCTGCTTGAAGGAATTCAAGCCCCCACTCCAAAAGAGGACTCCAAGAGACTTCTGGCTTTGGAAGAGAGGGTTCTGGGCAGCCCCACCATAGCTTGAAGTTGCTGCAGTGTCTGCAGTTTCTTTCAGCTCTAGGCTTTTAATTCTTTTCTGTTTAACTTTACGTGTGACCGCTTGTGATGTACAGAGAAGTAACGCAGGACAGAGCTTAACCATTTGCCATTTCTTGCTCGGTTTTGTGTATCATAGATAATAACAGTAAGTAAAGGCATTCATAGCATTATAATGATACTTATCAGGTGAGAGAAATACCTCTTTAAGTCTCAATAATAGGACAAAGTTTGCTCTCACACAACACATCTCTAAGAATCTCAGCAGGTACAGAATCATAGAGGGTTTGTTTATTCTAGCGTGGGAACCTTTGTAACAGAACAAAACAGTATATACATGTATTTTGGTCTGTTAATTTTTCTCAAGGAAAGGCTTTTGTTTACTTAGCAAATACATAATTCCCAAGGAAATTCTAGCTGCATTGATTTATTCAGCAATTACACAATGTCACGTTGTTGACTATTATAAAAATAAGTGTCTCTCAGTTGTAAGAATAGTTAAGATAATTTACTATTTGATAATTTAGAAACTAACGTAATTATTAAGAATATTTGGATGCGTCTTGCTAAGCCTATATTCAGCTCCCAATCCACATGTGCAATTATTGTTATGATCAATTTATAGAAGTTAATATAAAGGCAGGCACAAAATGTTTGAGGAGATGGCATGGGATAGGACCAGTGTTCTTTAGTCAGGACATTGGACAATATTTTCAATGTGATTCAAATAAAGAGGTGTTTGCTGGACACTGTCTAACCATCACTCATTTTTCAAAGCATCTTAGCAGATTAGCACTGCACAGGAGAAATAACTTTCTTGTTCAATGAATGGCTGAAGATGCTTTTGACTGACATTGCATAACTCTAAATATAAGTTTATACCCTACATGACTTGTATTTTCAAGTACAATACAAATCAACTTGCCAGTATTTTAGCATTTATTGCACAAACTATAAAGCAGCCTAAAATTATACTTGCACTTCTCAATGTTTTGAAAATTATATGCAAGATAAATCTACATAGGCACTCCACAGATTTAAAAATGTTAGCTGACAGGGCAGAAATTACTGTACATGAATGGGACTGACTTGTCAAGCTTGTACTCATGCAAGTAGTTTCAATTTGAATGATTCCATTGACTTAACAGGATTACCCATGTTAGTAAAAACTGCCAAGACCAGCCCTGATGGATATAATATTGACAGGAGAAAACAAAACCATACGAAATGATGGACTGTATGTGTCAGATAAATCTCCCCGTCCTGCGCATACTCAATATCTGTAATTTATATATAAATATAAAGGCACAATTAGTTACTAAAAATCCTTGCCATATGAATATTTATTCCTAGTCTCTTTTGCAAAAGAAGTTACAAGAAACCTTGAGGAATCTGGTATTACCCCCTGGTAGGTGATAAAATACTGGAAAAGATTGACCAGTGGTCTGATCTAGCAACTGAAAAATGCAGTGTTTTAGATTTAAAAAACCCCATTCATAATGAATCCTAATAAAAAATGCAACAGGAATAAAATGCTTTTGTAAGGCATAAGCGATACTGAAAACCCAACATTTTAAGACATGAATAATGGTTCTTTTGGATTTGATCTTCAAGGCTACTTTCAAAACGTAGTTAAATACAGAAATTTGAGGCAATAATAAATTAACTCAGTCCAGTTAATAGACAGACATTAAATGTTCAATGAAAACATATAAAGAAATCTTGTTTAAATGCCACCATCTGTTAAATGAATCAATGTGTGTAGTTGTTTAAAATATATTACTAGATCTAAACAGAGTATTTTTTCTTTTCCCAGTAAAAAAGACAACTTCTTACCTATCTGATGGACAAAGCACAGTGCTAATAGGAAAGCCCATTCTGGTAACGACATCCCCCTGCCAAACCCCATCTTGAGTGGAGTTTGGCACAAGGATGTTGGGTCTAAAGTTGATCAGGACCAGTAGTTCACCTGTGCTTTGTCATTCTTATATAGTAGGTGACTTTGGCTTCGGTCCCAGATTGATTCAGAGAGTGCAGAAAGGTGGGGTTTGGGGGATTTTAGCAAATGAACAGGTAAACAGAGGATGCTCTTCCTTCCTCAGAAACTGGCCAATGGTATTTGCGTTTTGGGAGGAGTAAATACATTTACGTACGCATACTTTGTTAAGGTTCGTTCTAATAAAGAAACATAACATGATCGCAAATAAAACACAACTCCTCCTCCACACATAGCAGGTCCTGGAACAAATTTAATTTGGTGTTGCTTTACAGTTACGCAGATGGCATGCAAGTAACTGTTCTAAGTTTTTCAGCACTATAATGGATGCCAGGGATTGTTGGCAAAAACCCCCACCAATTTCTGAAGTCTGAGGAGGTGTGGAGTATTTCATATGTGGGGACGCAGCATTAAGAAGTCACTCTGGGCTTATTGGGGCAGCTAATCTTGTAAAAAGAACAGAATAATAACCTTGAAGGGTCCTGCACTCTCACATGGTCACTCAGAGTGTATGCCATGGAAACCCCTTTGAGTGGCACTGACAGGCATTGGACATCCATCTGAGTAAGGCTGAGCCAGCTTCACCTGCGCTGTATCCTACATTTGTTAGAGATGGGCTTAACCTTAGAATCTACATCTCAATTCTCTGTGTCATCTGATGTTGCCTTCTCATAGAAAATATCAGGAGTAATTTCAGACAGACAGACAGCCTTATACCAGCTTCATGGGTCTAAAAAGATTGATTATGGCCTGTGATTATGATCGCATTGTTTCAGTATCATTCCTGTTTAATTCCACTCACATCCATAGAGTTAGGAGAATTACAAATTAGAGAAATAGGCAATGAATCAAGCCTATAAGGCTTGCCAGTAAAGGTTTAACAGACTTTTTTTTGCTGAATATTGACTTTTTGCAGTTTGACTGGATTATCATTTCAAAGGCAGGAACGAGTGCATACTATGATTAACATGGGCAGTATTGCTACTTCATGTCACTTTATGTTTTTTAGCTTGGCATTGGAGACAGGTAGGATGAGTTGCTCTGGGCAGATTTCTATCTCTTTCCAAGGTCAATAGACCTTCCTTTAGTATAGTAAAAGATGGACAAAAGTATTCAAAGTTAATGAAACCATTCTTTTAGAACTTCTAGGTTTGGCAAAAACGATGCACAGTCCAGCACTTGATATACACAAAACATTTTCCCTCAGTTCATCTTCAGCTTAGGCCTCCTTCCAGTTTATGGGAATGAATGTAGCTGATGGATTAAAAAATCTTCATCATAAGAAATGGAAGAAAGGCTGCTGCTCAGTGAGAAATTTACGAAGAGGGACCTGGGAGATATAATTGGAATGGGGGAGCCACACGAGTAAGGAGCCAAAAAAAAGTATACTGAGATGTGTAGAAAAGACTTTCTTTGGGTAAAATAGGACACTTTTACCTTCTACGTGTCTGGTAAGATTCAGTTCAGCAGTCTCTGCTGATGTTTATCGTTTCTGCAGGGGAAGGAGACTAAGTCTGGAAGGTGTTCCAATGTGATCCCAGCCAAATGCCTAATTCCCTTGGCTTCTCATCAAAATCCCCTCCCACAATTACACATTTTAAAATATTTCTGTAAAAGAATAGGAGGGTATAATACAATATTCCTTTCAGGTGTTACTGAACAGAATGGTGTAATTTTCTTCCAATTTTTTTTAGTTCAGCCCCTATTTCCACTTTTGTTTAGCTCTAAATATATCAGATCCTCACTGTATTATAAAATAAAAAAAATAGTTTCTTTATGAAGTTTTATTGGATTTGATTTCTGGACTGAAATCAGTGGTAGCTTGCTATGGCAATGTTGAGGTACTTAAGTGAACATTTTGGCCTTCTATAGCACGAAACATGTTCTCTGTCAAAATGTCCAGGATGTTTAATGAAGTTACATCTTCATAATCAGTAGTAAGCTGTTTACACACCCTAGATCTGTATCTTTATGCTTCAACAAACGAGGAGAAAAGAAAATACTGCATTTCCTGCCCATAGAACATTGTTTTATTCTGTGCCAGTACTCCTAATGAATATAAATTCATCTGTACATAGAGAAGGCAAATGATTTCTTGTTGACGTTACCAGTTATCAGAATTAAATAAATATACTCTAGTCTCACTTAAACAATTAAATAAGCCACCCAACAAACTAGGCTTTGAACAACTAATGTGCATATATGTTTAGCAATAGGCTACTTGTGATGGTTAGAAGTAGCAGAGCTTGCTTCCCATCTCAGGTACACCCACCTCTGCATGAAAGGCATAACAGAGAGTCAGGATCTTCTTGTGTTACTTTGAAACAGAGAGAGTTTCTTGATTTTCCATTGGGTGTATTAGGGAAAGGGAATACTGATAAACTGAGAAGCTTTCTGAGGGGGCAGTTAGTGCTTTTTCTACTCATCTGGTAAAGGTGAGGAAGGTATCTATACCTAGGATGACTAGGTGTGTCACTGGGGTCAAGGCTGCTTTTTCCTTTGTCCTGTTTCTTCTACTGGAGTTGTTGCTAAGCAGAGTGTTTATATCAAATGCTCTTTTTCTTCTAAAACAATTTTTTGTTTTCACTCATTATAACTCTTTGTGACTAAAGCAATGCATGTCAGACTTGAATATGCTATTTCACAAAGCATTTATCAGTGCACAGTGGTTGTTGTGAAGGCTGTCGCAGTTGTATTCAAAGGTGTTCTTCAAAAGATGTTGTCCAGATAGTTCTCTCAAACCTTTATGTGTTCTAGAGTTGTTATGATTGCTACCGCTTAGACTGAAATTTTTGATCTCCAGGGAACAGTGACAGTCAAATGATGTTCTAATATTCAGCTTATCCAACCGTACAGCCTCTCTCTCTTCTTCCCTCTCCACCACAAGGAGAGGGTGAAATTGTTAATAATGTAACGGGTACAGAAGAAATTCAGGTCGCTAAAGTTAGTTGGCTCATGACATTTTGAAAACAATCAGGTTATGACATTTTACTGATTGCTGGAGGAATCACATCTGTAGATAACAATATCACAAAACCCAGAAAGGTTTAAGTAAACATGTTCATTGGTCACATGGATGGTTGCTCCAAATGGTTATTGTAGATTAAAAGAAAGTAATTCAAGTACTTTTGTGTTTCCCAGAGAGTTATGCTCCCTACCTACTCAATAGGTAGAGAGGATAAAGCTCTCCTCTTCAGTTGTATGAGGGGAAAGAAATCTCATAAGCAAGTTTTGAAGTATTTTAAAAACAGAAACTTAACTGGCTGTTTTTCTTGTTAATGTACACCAGGAATACACTAAGGGACCACTGTTTTTGACATCGCCTAGCACTAACACAAAGGACTTTTGTTCCAAGAGGGAACGTTCAGGGAGATGTTGAAAAGATTATTGATTCTTTTCTCCATTTTTTGCTGGTTTTCTCAGTTTTAATATGTGTGAAACCCAGAAGCTTATCTTGACATCTCAGCACCAACTGACATGGAAATTAATTCAGGATAGATCTGTAGAGCTGACAGACATCAATTACTGGAAAGTTATTGCAAGTTATTAGAATTTAATTGCAACAGCCAAGGATGCAGCTGACAAACATTCTACTTTTATTTTGATCTTGTATCAAAAATATATACTAACGGATTGATCACTAAAAGTACCTCTTGCAACAGTAAATTAAATAATTCTGAGCATGGATATAATATCTCCAATTTTACCTTTTCCTGTTTTCTTGCATAAAAGTAGGGACAAAACTTGAGACATTGATTATACTAGTTTAATGTAAAATTTCAAATGCCAGATAAAATGTGAATATTATATATACTATAAATACTATAATTACAATCTGAAAGCAGATGATATAATATGAGAGTAGCAAAGGTAAGCATTCAAAATTTAGGTAGTGGTAGTATTAAGGCTCTTAATGAAAGCCAAATTCATTGGCCTTCTCTGTTCAAACTACAACTCCACTAGTGTCAAGAACTTCTGCCTCTTCACAAATGTGAAAAACCAGAGATTGCTGGGACCTGCGTTTTGCACCCGAGTTGGGTTTGTGCCTGTGCATTGTGCCTCAGATCTGTGAATTGCTTGCTTGCCATGTCAACTGGCAAAATGAAATAGTTGGATTGGTCAGAGAAGAGACTATTGTCGTGTGGAAAGTAACATAAAGTAATGACAGCGTACAATTAACGTAAACTAAGTTGGTATTAACTTAAGCAGGGCATCCGGCACACCCTCTCCACCTAGCTCTGCAGAGGTTTAGCTGCTGTTCTTGGCTTGTCCTGCTCAAGCTTTTGTCACCTTTCTCTGATAGCCTCAATTGAAATGCTGTTGAAATCCCTGGCCAGGTTTAATTCTATCAGGGCTTTAGCTTTCCTAACCTGATACCTGATTGCTCTGACAATCTCTTTGCATTCTTCCCAGGCTACCTGTCCTTGCTTTGACCCTCTGTAGACTTCCTTTTTGTGTTTGAGTTTATCCAGGAGCATCTTGTTCATCTATGCAGACCTCCAACTGCTTTTACCTGACTTCCTCTTTGTTGGGATACATGGCCCCTGAGCTTGGATGAGGTAATCCTTGAATATCAACCAGCGTTCTTGGGCACTCTGGGGCTTTATCCCACAGCACTCTACCAAGCAGGTTCCTGAATCAGCCAAAATCTGCTCTCTTGAAGTCCAAGCTTGCTGTGCACCCTCCTCACTGCCCTAAGGATCTTGAGTTCCACCATTTCATGGTCACTGCAACAGGTTGCTAGAAAAGTTGCCATGCCTTGTCTTATCTCAGTATGTTTGGATGCGATTTTTTAGGTTGGGAAAATTCATATACATATGTACTGAATCATTTTCACCTTGTTTAATGTACTTAAGTTCGTTGTTGTATTGGGTTTGTGTTGCAAGGTTTTCATA